CAGATCCTCGAGCCGACGCACTTGTCGATCAATTCTGTTCCCAGGACGTGGTCAGCCTCTAGCTATCTGAGTCTCTCCACGCAGAAGGACAATATGCGGTGAACTATGGGGATATACCTAGGGGCAGGAGTTGCGACGCCATGGGTGTTGGCTTGGTAGTTAACATGGAATTTGTGGGAAAGGAGAGATTGGTGTGCTGTTATCTCAAGGTCTATTCATCGAGACCTAAGGTGGCTTCGAAGACTCAAAGGAGATGATGGGTTTCTGCGAGGGCGAGTGGTTGACGGAATGAAATCCAAATTGGCAAAAGAGGTTGATGTCAAGGCTGCAACTGGGAAGAGCCTTGCGCCAAGACCGGAGCGGAATAATATGAAGCCGGCATTACGATGTCTCGCAAGGCCCGTAGATTGGAGGTACATAAGTTCGGGATGTTGAGGATACCATACAATATTATGATGATAGTCTTGAATATTATGTATAGATGCTTATTATGATTATGTACGGGGGCTCCGATACCCCCGGCGTACCAGAATCTCCCAACGCCGTGCTTTTCTCTCATGGTATCATTCTCCATCCATCACGACTAATCATAACTCATCATTCGTAAATGTCGCATTGTATTTGCCTCTCGACCAGTCCCATGGATCTCCTCCAGGGACACAGAGACCCAGTCGCCAAAAGTAGTCACGATGAGCAAAGAACAGCTGCCAGAGTTTGTAGCGTCGACCAATCTCCCACATTCCCTTGACCTCGGAGGCTGTACCGTTTTCTCTCCGAGCTGCGGATCCTACCTTCTCGATCTCGGTCGATGCACTATCGGCAATACAACCGGGGTCCTCATCACCCACGCAATGCTGAATATCGGCACGACCAGGAGGCAGCGCGGCTTTAGAGATGTATATCTCGCCGGCATGCATTCGGTAACCCCATTCTTCCAGTGGTAACAGCGGCACTGGATCATCCACATGTGTGACTCTGCGGTAGGTCCACTGGTCCGGGCTTGTGGTATTCAAGTTGAAACGTTTGTCGATGAACTGATTCAGAGCTAGATTTCCGACTCGTGGCTCGCCAAAAGTCGTGACGTGAGGATTCCACCCCCTCGCTTGAAACTCCAGAGACGCCAACGCTGCGACGGCGCCCCCAAGTGAATGACCAACCAGCACAAGTTCGTAGTCAGGATTGTCCCTCAAGGCCATTTCTACGTGTGGAATGATGATGCAGCGTGTGTTCCGCCAAGAGGTCATGAAGCCCGAATGAACAGTGCAGTTGAGACACTCTGTCGGTACCGAATTCCTCTTTTCAGGCTGCTTCAGTAGCTGTGGAAGTATAGAATGCTTTTCATTTTGCAACTGTGCCGTGGTGCAGAACGAATCATTATCTCGTTCCGAAGGGAAAGGGGCATATTCGGCGGGGTTTGTTGACAAATCTGCAATTGTGTTTGCGATCGAGTAGGTACCTCGGAATGCCACGATGACTCGTTTCGGGTAGGGGGGATGCGACAAGGCAATGTAGCCAGACGAATCGGACAGGAGAGGGCCGGTGTTCCAGGTGGTGACGAGCTCGAAGCCCTCAAAGTCGCTACATCGACTCAGGCATTTGAAGGGCTTTTGTATTCCCGTCGTCCCGACGCAGTAGGATATGTCGACAATGCGCGCGAGTTCTTCCAGGGACTCAAAGGTCTGTTGGGAAATTTCTCTGTCATTTGCTCGTAGGCGCGCTGGAAACGCTCCAGCGAACGCTATCCATGAGCATATCCAGAAAAAGGGCCGGAAGCTGAGCATTGGGAAGTGCGATTACTTGGAACCGAGGTCGGCGAAGTGTTCATGGCCTTACATTAGGAAAAGGAAGAGAATGTATCGATACATGAGAATCCGTCAGGTGCAGTTGTTCGGAAGAAAATCGAAGATGGAGTTGATGCTCGTATTTTGCTCACATGACCTTGACGTCACAGCCTCTATGTTCCTGGCGGCTCCTCCCGCCGCCTCCGCTTTCTGTATGTGCGAAGCACGGGTGGGTATCATATCTGTTCGGCATGCATCTTTCAGCGCTATGGTATGAGACTGCTAGCAGAGTCTACGTGACGTAAGCCCGCTCTTTGGAATTAGCGATATTAAGGACAAGGCGATAGCTGGTGGTAGACAACACACTGGAGCAGGGGACCAAGTGACCACTTAAGTGGCAGGGAAAGTACTGGATCACTGCAGTTGAAGCAAGGCTTTCTGATTATATTGATTTTCAAGGCGAACTAGGCCACAGGCTCATAGCTGAGTGCCCCCTTCTTCGTTGCCAGAACTCTCACTACCGCTCAAATCATCATCATCGTCAAATTTTGCAAAGTCATCATCAACTGGTTCTTCACTTCTGTTCGCTTCCTCTTCCTCTTCCTCGTCATCACTGGACGAAGAGTCCTGTTCGGCACCTGACTCAAGTGAACTCTGATCAGCTGTTGCGGGTTGATCTGCCTTCCTCTTACCAGGCATCTCGCCCAGCCGGCCTTCTCTCCCTTCAATTATTTCTGTTGACGGATCGTCATCGGTTCCGTCAGCTCCCTCTTTCTTCGGTGGTGGTGTGAACCAGGGAATCTTCCCGCGCAGGAAATCGTTCAGAACCATCTTGGCAACACCGTCTACATCAGGCTCGCCACCTTTTAACAGCCTGCCACCCTTTCTGGCTAGAATGCTGAGAAATTCTATCGGATCGTCATTGTAATCCGCAGCTTTGATTTCGTAGGTCCGCTCGATATGGCGAGTCTTCGTTCGCCGCAAAACGGCCTCAACATATTGTGCGGGATGCTCGACATTCTCCACACGCACCACTCCACGCAGTAGGATGTCTTCCTCGGAATCGCCTTGGCTAGGAGGAACAACTCCAGGACAATCAATCAAATAAATTCTCTTCATTAATGTGATGTATTGCCAAACCTTGGTCTCGCCGGGGATTGGAGCGACAGTGCAAACTCGCTTCTTTCGTAGTGTGTTGATAATTGAGGATTTGCCGGTGTTTGGATACCCAATGAAACCCACCGAGATCTGTTTTCTCGACGAATGCAGAGTGGAGAATTGTCGCAGGAGCGTGATAAGCGAGCCTTTCCCAAAGGAATTCGTCATTGACGCGTGGAAAGCCAGGGTGGGATATTCTTTGGAAAGCAGTCTGGTCCATTGAGCCTAAAGACTTGGGATTAGTATGGATGTGTGAGACATTACTAAGAGACGTGCCATGGACAAAGAAAGCAAACCTCAACTCAAACGAAACACGCCATGCGCTCTGATGACATATACGCTTCCAAGACGGATGCATTTGTCGAGAACCGCCCGTGAGGGTGGCGAGCGCGGCTTGATGTACCAAAGCTGTAACAGGCTGCTTTCATTGAGGAAAAATTGCGATAACGCAGAAAGGAGCCTTGACTTAGCGATGGAGGGGACGTTGTTTTGCGTGTGTACGTAGGACTTTGGAGGATTGCTGAGCAGAAGGAGAGGTAATCTTACCGCTATGCTTGTCGGCACCAGATCGCACTTGTTGAGTACGAAGACCAAGTGCTTGTGAGGTGCCTCTTCTCGGATATACTTTTCCACACTCCGACATCTTGTGCCCTCAGGATCTCGGGCGTCTAACACGTGAATAACGACATCGGACGAGTCAATGACCTTGTACAACTCGTTCCAGATCCTTTTGCTTTGGCCTTTCGAGAAGATGGGTTCGCGGGCACTGGTTAGCTCGCCGTCTTCTTGTCCTTGCATTTGTTCTGCAGTTTGTCCGCTCAGCAGTTTGTTCTCTTCCAGCCTCTCGAGGTAGTTGTCGTGCATTTTCACCGACTCGTCAGCCAGGTCCGCCACAGAGCTTGCACTTAGTTTGACACGCTTCCGCTGCGACTTGGGACCGAAGGTGTCGGCGAACGGAGTAGACTCCACCGCAATCTTTGCCTGGTGTTGTTTGATCCCATTCTTGGTATTCTCCGCATCCCGAATCAAACTCATCGGTAGCTTGTTCGTCTTCAGAAGGACTTGGTAGGGATCCGCTGCCCGCTCTGCCACAGCTTGTCTGAAAGATTCGAGTGCATCCTGGGATATGACTCTCGTGTTTCCAAACCACTTGCGATTCGGTTCGACTCTGGCCTTGGGGACCTCGCGGGACTGGTAAGAGGCGGCCTTCGTGATCTTGCCGTCGGCATTCCGCTGCGCCTTGCCATCTTTCAGCATGTTCAGGGTCTTGAGCTTCTTGGCATTGCTGAGGATTTCTTGTTAGCGTTGATCGGCCTGGTATTGCTCGGTTGCATCTGCACGCACCGATAGAAGTTCTCGCCCTTGACCTTGACGTTTGCCATCCCGTCTGTCGACTGGCCCTGCCGCTCACGGCGGGCGGCTTCTTTCTTTCGAGCACCCATTTTTGTGTGAAGGGGCTCGTACGACGGCAAGATGGGCAAAAAGGAAGGGAGGTTTATTTACTAAATTAAGAACTATCTACAATATAGTCTGGGGGAGAAAAGTTGAAATTTTCGGTTGAACTTCGGGGGAGCGACAACGGCCCTTGCGGCTTGGCAGAGAATTACCCAAGCTTTGAAACTATATGTAGACCATTCCTCAATTGTGTTGCTCGCCAGCCTCCTTCTTACGACTCACTCCCCTTTGCCCAGATGTTGCCTTCTGTATGATATCCACCAGCATACAGAGATGGCCACTGGCTCTTTTCGAAAGAGACCTTCGAAAACAGCACCCGAATTACAGATATGGCTCGCTCCCGGTGGTAATATCAACTACTGGTGATGCTCAGTAGCTCCGCTAGCAACACATCGTTACCCTGCGGTAACTCGATCACGCAAGAGTATACACCTTCAGGGCCTTACATACCAATACCTTCCTCCCCTGAAAGATGTCCTTCTCCAAACCATCTTTCTTGACGCGAATCTTTGCATTGCTCATTTCCTAGATCCGCCCTCCAGTTTCCCTGGGGTCAGGATGCCACGAACTCATAGTCCTTCAATCCAGGCGTTCGGGCCTGTGTGGCTACACATGTGGGCCTGGGCTCTCCTTTCGGGGGCCAGTGTTTTGTTGTGTAGTAGTGAAGACATTGGTTGGGGTTCTTGACAACACTGGGTTCTGCGACGCCGGTGACTGTTCCGGCATAGATGGTGCTTCTGGAACCGCTGGAACCCTCGAGATCTGTGGTCGAGGGAAGATGTGATTTGAGTAGATTGCTTGCGAAGTAGTGTTGCTTATTTGTGAAAGGGGATAGCTTGCTTCTTGTGAGATGGAATAAGTTGCTTGTGGAGTACCCTCAACTGGTGGTCGGGAGATGAGATCGGCTGAATTGGCAGTGGCAATTGCTGGCCGAAGGACTTCGCCTCTCCACACTCTCACGATGAATTTGTCCTCCACGTAGAAGGCAGAACCTATAGCAGTGCCCCCTTCAACAAAGCAAGTACCAAGTTCGGCACGCCGTGGTGCATCACCTAGTTTGATGTGGTAGTCTTGGACCGGAAAGTCGACCTTGAATTGCTTGAGGCATCTCTCGATAAAAGCTTTCTTGTCGGGGAGTACCGCTTTGCCCTCTAACGCTGCATAGACAAGAGTAGTCTTATACGTTGAAAAGTCTTGTTTATGTGCCTGATATAGCGTTGAGAATTCCATCATCTTCGAAATTAGGTTGCGATCACCAGCGTCTAGCTCCTTATATTCGGGACCAGGATGCGGTGGAATGTGTGCTGCAATTGTTGCGACAGGAGACATCAGACACACCACAAAGCAGGAATTTAAGTCTTCGGTAAGGAGGTATCGATTCAAGGTTGTAAAGTACAGATATTTGACTTCATTCATGCCAAACCTCGAGGCTAGACGTGACGCTGCGACCTTGTTGTAGGTGGGAACCCCTTCCGCCATTGTCTTGGTTGAGCCTCTTCTCCCTTGGGATCGAATGGAAGAGTGGACAGTACCCGCAGCTTCTGTCTGTCGCGGATTGTTCTCCACCTTTGCTACAGAGCATAAGTATAAGTGATAGCGAGGTTAAGAGACAGCTTTTTTGCCGATTGGGCTTCGATTGAATCATGGCGGGCAGGGTTTGTACGTCGAAGGTTGCTCGCTGAGGCGTGTGCCAAGAGTTGTCCATGCAGTGGCAGCCCGATGTACGAGCCAGTAGAGCAGTAGACCCCTATAGATTGGCTGATGAGGCATCGAATTAGATTCCTTGAAATCACTGGGCACGGCGGGTGTCAGACCAATCGACGACCTGGGACGCAAGTTGAGTAACAGTCCTCAGAAGCTATCCTGCAAATATTTCGACCTCTTTGCCCTTGACATTAACTCTGGTCATGAGGTGGAGAGGATTTATCCGTGACTCCTTGGTCATAAAGGTGACAATATTCGCTCGTTGGCAGAATTATTAATCTCATGACCCAAATTCTCGAGTTGCGGAAGTTGCCCTAAGGTATCTGGGATATTCATATTCGCGCCATACTTGAGCAGTAGCTGGACGAGTCGCACATTCTTTGCCTTTACGGCTTCATGTATGGGCGTTGCTAGTCCAAGACATTCGCGCTGAGCGAAGGAACGCGGGTGGCTTTCAAACATCCGGGCATTGATCGGAGTTCCCTTGTTCAGGAATAAAGTAACGATGTCATCCGAGCGGCCATTTATCACCGCATAGTGTAGAGGTTGTCCACGGTCGGCGGAAGCGCCGAGCTTGAATAGGAGCTCAATGACTTCTTTCGAGGCTGACGCGGCTGCCACGGAGAGAGCCGTGATATCGAAGTAGCAGGTGGCGTTAGGGTCTGCCCCATGCTCGACGAGCCACTGAACGAGTTCCGGATCAGATAACGCAAGACTAAAGGATTGTTAATAGTGAGGGACCAGGAGAAAGAACGAGCGAGGGTACCATAGGGGTCCCGGACAGTCTGAGCGTAGTTGCTGATTAAGATCGCAGCCATGCTGTAACAAGATCTCGATCATATAGCGACTGCTATTTTCAACCGCCGTGACGAGGTTATGCTGAGTAGGCTTAACGAGAGTGAGGAGACTGTCCACGATCAGCACCTCGTCATTCTGAACTGCCGTGTCGAAGGCCGTCCATAGATCTATGGTCGCAAGGTCATCCAGGGGGAACGCTAAATCATTGATCAGCCTTCCGACCTCACCCAGATCTCCCGCAGCAGAGGCACGTGTGAAGGGACCTTTGCCGGCCGACATGGTGGATGTTGAGGTGATGCTTGGGAAGAAGAGTTCGATTCACAGTCGTGTCGTTCTCCCAAGGTTTCCGCACTCGTCACGTGACACCAGACTTGGTTGGCTGGGCGACGAAATCCCGCACTTGGACTCCACGAAGCCAGCAACGACGAAGTAGAATAAACCCTCTCCTGAAAATTTCCGACCTTCTAATAGACATCTCACCTCCTCAATCCTGCTGCTCGCTGGCTTCCCTCTCACGACGACAAGGGCTTCGAAAAAGTCTGATAACGATGGTCAGGCCTTGTGTAAGTGATACATGTTGTCTGAAACAGCCACGCCTACTCACTTGGGTCTCGAATTCTGTAAGTGATGGCATTTGGACCGCGTGGCTGACCAACGTAGAGCAGTATCAAGATTAACGTACGACTCCTCACACGTGCCCTGAACTCATTTCACTATTATTACTACTCCCTACTTATTTCCTTGTGCCTCTCGAGACCTTCCCTGAGCATCCAGACGAGCCACAAGCCACCCCGTCAAGAATAGACTACCGTTCCAGGTGCGGGCAGAGCGCCCGTCAACAAATACTCCATGATGATGTCCATGGCCTCTCCGCCCCCGTCGACGAGAAAACTCCCGTGGCCCTCACCGTGCCTGGTCAGCAGCACACTCCCACCAATCTGCCGCTGGACATTCACCGCGCCGGAGTATGGGGTCTCGGGGTCCCACAGTGCATTGACCAGCAGCACCGGTGCCGAGGTATTGGCGATGTCCAAGGGTTTTGGCGGATTCGACACGTCGGTGGGCCATCGTGGACAGTAAAGCATCCAAAGATCCCAGGCTGTGGCGCCGACATAGTCTCCCCCCTCCGGAGCGCCGGTCAATTCTCGCTCGGCGATCAGCCGGTTGGAAAAGTCGACGTAGGTCTCGTTGGTGGACCAGTCGTTGCATCCGATCATGAAAGACCAGGCTGAGGACGTTTCTTCGGTGACAATGGGGGCTGCTAGGACGGAATAGTTGCCTTGGGCCATTTCGGCAATGGCCTGAGCTAAGCTGGGGAAGCTGCGGGTGAAGTCGAGCTGACCGCTCAAGAAGCTCAATAGATCCTGGCGAGTGACGTTTGGGTAGCAATTCCCACTCTGGACACATTCAGTCAGGGTGGCGGGGGTCTGGTCCAACTGCTTCGCCAGGTTGAGGAAAAGTGTCTTCACGTCCTGGCCGTACAGCACCGATGACTTGTTTGTGCTGGCCCAATCATAAAAGAAATCCGCCGCGAGTCCGAAGCTAATGGCGCTGTCAACAATGAGGTTCTCAGGCTGGCTCGTGTGATCCAGCACGCTGTCGAGCGCCAACGTTCTGATGTTGTTGGGGTAGAGCTGTGCGTATTGCTGGCCACGTTGGGAGCCTTTGACACGTTAGACATGAGTTCGACCGAGCCGGTGAGTAAAACTACTTACCCCACGACAGACCATAGTAATTGATCCCGCCCTCGCCCAATGCCGAGCGGAGAGTCTCGAGGTCCCTCGCCGACGTCAACGTGTCGAATGTCGGCCATATCTCCGCCCCGGTCCGATTTTTACAATCACTGCCAAAATTCTCAAAAAACTCCAGGGTCTGCTGCCATTGTTGCTCGGTCTTGGGATAGCTCAGGGTCGAGGCAAATTGATTCCAGAGCTGCGGGTCGCACTTCATCGGGTAGTTCACGCCGACGCCGCGAGAGTCCAAGGCCACGACGTCGAACCGCTCTTGGATCCTTTGCCATCCGACTTGATTGTCGTAGCTGATGAGGTGTGCGGCGGTGGGGTAGCCTGGGCCGCCTTCCTGGAAGACTAGGGTTCCAAGACGAGCGGATGAGTTTTTCGCGGGGATTTTGACGACGTTGAGGGTGACGGTCTGCTCGTTGGCCCGGCTGTAGTGTAAGGGCGCTGACAGTTCTGCACATTGGAAATTTTGTGGGAACGGAGACGGGCAAGGTGTCCAGTTGAGAGAGGAATTGGTAGACGGAGTAGTTTGGGTCGGTGCCGGGATTGCAAGTGCTGTGCCTCTGAGGAGGGTTGCTATGAGGGGCACGAACAGATAAGCCGGATAGATCATGGTGAAGCCTAATAGTTGATAGAAACAGAGTCAGAGAAGTATAGAATGCTTTGATGACGGTAGTTGTAGACCGGGCAAAGACTCATTACTTATAGCCCACGACAATGTCTACAACAAGACCGACTTTGCTGCAAATGTGGCCGAACATCTTCTCAAAGCTGCCCAAAAACAAGAAATCATGTCTCTTGAAGCCTCCTGATGTCATTCCCACCCGTGTCTAATGCGAGGATTCGGAATGTCTGCAGGAAATGCACCACCGGGGATGCCGCTGAAGTTGGACAGCATTCCCGCCCTCACCAATCAGTGGGAGAGCAGAGTATAGTAGCGCGCAGGATTGCCTCTTCAGAGATATTTCAGGCCGCGCCTTGCTGCATGGCCTGTTATATTGCCACTTGTCGGACCCAGGGGAAAGTTGGAACAAGAGTAATAGAGCCTCATTTCCCAAAGAGGAAAGACATGGCGCTTCGGCCAATCAGAGCGGGTTGGGTCCAGCCCCTAGCAACGGCAGTGGCCCGCCTAACGCCCGGGCCTGGGTAAAGTGGATTCAGATGGATGGATGCAATGGTGGTGAGTGAGGTGGAAGGTGACGCCAGGCCAATGAATGCGAGGTCGGCGTAGAGAGGTGCGATTGGGGCCAAATTGACATTGACACGGGATGCAGCGAGCAAGGCGCCAGCGTATAAAGGTATCGCCCGAAGCCGGTTATAGCTTTGATGCACTTTGTTTTCTATCTACCTATCTATCTCAACCTGTATCGTGTCTGCATCCCGTCGACCTCCATAACAGCAAGCATGAAGACATATGCTGCAGCCCTTGCCTTTGCGACTCTTGCACTATCGCAAAGGGTAAGTTCCTTCCCCATCCTCTCTCCATCCTCGATGATCGCATCTCACTCTTACCAGACAGATCTCCACGGCTGCGTCGGCGTATGGTTCGTTGACACCGGATTCGAAGACGGCGCCTGTTGCGTCGGAGGCACCCTCTCTGCGCCTTACCTCTCCACCTGTCCTGGCTGGCCTGTTTGTTCCGGGCCCGCGACAACCACGACCACATCGCAGCCATTGAGCTGTGCCACCGTCATCGCCAGCGACGACAATTACTCGAGCAACCTTGCTGCCGCAACGAGCAGCCTCGCTGCGAGCGGGACACATTTTCAGACAACCTTGACTGCTGGTGGAACGGCTACAGGAGGACCCGCTTCGACGGCGTCCTCGGGATCTGCCTCGTCGGACAGTGTGACTGGGACGACGGGCGTGGCTTCGGCGTCGCCGACAGGAAATAGCGGGCCGACAAAGTCGATGGCTGGTGCTGGAGTGGTCGGTGGAGCTATTGGGGTGCTTGCTCTATTGTTGTAGTCCAGGAGATGCAGAGTCGAGTGGAGCTGATTCCGCAGGATGCTCGTTTCTGGTCAATACATGTAACATCCATCTCGTTCTTCTTGCGGCACTGGGCCGGTGGATGCTATTAGTTCTCGAGTAAATGTTCTGCGGGACTTGAAGTCCCAAGCAGGAGACGGGGTAATTCTGATGTCTTCGGTGCGCTAGTATGCGAGCATTTCACGGCCCCCAGTGACCCCTGGCCAGGTGCCAGGGCATAGTGACTCCACCACGGCACAGGATATCCTGCCGAAATGAAGATCGCAGGAATTAGGTACTTTTGCTTGGCTTCCGGGGCGGTCTGTTCCGTTGACGATCCTGATCATACTCGTCCTGGACATGCAGATTATCGGGAAGTTGTGACGGCTCTGCCAATGGTCACGTATTTCACATTCAAAGTGTCAGATGAGTTGTTGTGGTAGGTCGAAAATGTGAGCTGCCAGGTGCAAGTGCAGGGCATTAATGACGTAGTTGGAGGCCTTGAGTAACTTAATCGTTCCTGCCCAGGCTTTGTGACCGAAACCAGGCACCTGAGTCTCTGAACATAAAGGACAACGAGATCTTGTTCTAATCACAATAAAAGACCTCGGTCTTCGGGAATGATCAATTTATAGTTGGATACTCCGTTTGAATTCAAAGGAATGTCTAAATAGATTTGACCACCCCTGATACCGAAGCCCCACTAAAGAAGCTCTGGATCTATTATGCCAGGCGGACCCATCGGGCGAGGCTGCGAGGCCTGTCGAGCCCACCACAAAAAGGCAAGTCTTGCTGTTCAGCATAAACTCGAAGCTTCATGCTCATACATTATCAAATGCAGTGCGATTTGCAGCGTCCGAAATGTACACGTTGTCGGAAAGCCCGAATACCTTGTATCGGGCCTGGCGAGCAGAGGTACAAGTTCATCAATCGTAGCCAGCATCGACGAGAATCTTGTCCTGCTCCGGTGGAAGGGCCGCCACAGTCGTCCCGACCTTTTCCTCCCACCTTCGACTTCAGTGTCCCTCCGAGCAGTGAAAGTAGCATTCTAGCGCAGTCGTTGGTCGCGCATCTAGCACTAAAGGACCTTCGATACAGCATCACGCAGCTATGGGGACCATTCCTCGCAGATCTTCCCCGCCGCATGGGATGTAATGAGGCCCTGGATGCCGCCACTGCCACGGTACTCGGGCTCCACGACGCCGAAACCAGATTCGTCCGTGACAGCGCAACGCTCCGGCCGGTATTACGACAGTATGTTCGGGCGATCAACGCCGTCCGTTCAATCCTGGATGACCCCGTCCGGGCGCAAGAGGTCGAGACGCTTTGTGCAGTCTTCTTGTTGGCCAAGGCATCATGCTATTTCCCTGGCCCGATCAGCAACTTTATCTCACCACATGGCACGGGAGCAGTCGAATTGCTAAAGCTGCGCGGATTCCGTCGTGACCAGGGGCCTTTCGAATCGATGCTGTATGGCAATCTACGATTCCAGGTCGCCCAGGAGATGTTATTTGACCCAGATCCGAAATTAAGTCGCGATCAGTGGAAGATGTTTGAGACGTCCTGCCCAAACAATCAGTTTTCGGACCATCTTCTACGGTGCACGGTTAGGGTCGGGCGATTCCTCACAGAAGTCAGAAGTACCGCACGGGGGAGTATCGAGGAAGTGGCTGCGTATTACCGAGTGACGCAGTTTCAGGGGGAAGTGGAACAAATCACCCTTGGAATGCAGCGGGAAGTCACTGTTAGTACCCATGGTGGCACCGAAGAGCTGGCACTAAAGCAGAAGTACTATAACCGTGGACTCGTCATCACTGCGGTGCTTTTGTGTGTTCAGCGTGCCCTGGCGCCGAAGGAGTCTCGCTTTGCTCACGAGATCGACCTCCTTTGCTCCCGAGTATACCAGCTAGCAGAGGATGCGAGGGCGTATCTCCCTCTGGGGGGTAATTGGATGCTCATCGGCCTCATGGTCATCTGGTGTGCGGCCAAAGGCACGGCGCATCAATCGAGGATTGAAAATCTCCTCGATGGATGGCGCAGGGACACCTTACCTGAAGAGCATGCCAGAGTGCCCCATACACAGCTGGAGGAGATGTATCAACGGCTGAGCTTCGAGGAGAGGCACGCATAGGAGGAGTGAAATGCTTTGGATTTGGATTGACTCGGATCACAAAGTCGCAGGCTAAATATGTTTAGAGAACCCTTTTTGATCCAGCGCAGTCGAGAGCAAGGGGGAAAGGCCATTGGTTGTCCTGGTACTACTGACAAGTCAGGAAAGCAACGGCAAGGGCTCAAAGATGGTATGGCAGCAGTGTAGTGGATCCTGGCCTGTCACTCGGTCTTGATACTTTACGACTGATCCAAGGCGGCCAACTGTCGCAGGCACATGTCTCTATCTACGAGTACCGAGTCAAGCGAGTACAAAGTAACCCTGGAATTGAGCGGGTCTAGCCATTTTTGGGTTTCAGCTCCACATTTTACGAGGTAACTCCACAATTTACACCTTTGAGGCTTCCCCAGAGTACCTACCTATGCACGTGCTATGCAAGTAGGTAACTCAATAGCCCCTCACATCGACATCATCTTCATCATCATCACCATCATCGTCATCATCATCGCCATTACCAGAACACTGAACCGGACGAGCTGAGGGAGTGGGAAGTCTCGAACCGGGCTTTCAGCTACGCCTCGCAACTGTATCAGTGCATGTGCAGGGCTTTTTAGCACAAAACGCAAAATCATGCCATATTAGCTGGGGTCTCGACTCTCGACTCTCGACTCTCGACCATGGACCCCGTTTCTGCCATGCCTCGTCGCAAGTCTCCCTGTTCGAGAGTGCCCATCTTTAAGCATCGTGGGGGAAACTGCGACAATTTTGATTCCCAGGTGTCGTTGACAAGCAGATGGTCCAGACCATTGGGAAGCATGCCCCCGTGGGCAGTTTCATGCGTATTTTATGATATTTCCTCCGTGTACCGCCCAGCATGTACTACTGCTGAGTGGCTATGTGGGGTATGGAGTATCCGTATGCATCCAACTGGTATTACTAGGGAGATACAAGTCACTATTACTGATCGGGTCTTTCCTCCAGCCCACGTCCTCGTCCAACCCCAGAATTAAATCATCACCACTTATCCGTCTTCTCATTGACCGTCTTGGGATCCGTCGGCGCCAGCACGGGCGGATTCACCCTGGCCGCGCCCCCAAACGTCTCCCCGCTCGGCTTGTACCCGACACTGCACATCAAGTCGCCCCGGTCCGTCATGACGGGGTTCTTGTAGAAGAAGACGCCCGAGCACGGAAAGACCAGCTTGCTCGCCCGCCCGATGTCGTTTGCCAGCACGTTCTCCAGGCTGCCCAGGTTGTCAAAGTTGAACGTGTTGAACCAGCCCTCGAGCCAGTCGATGATGCCGCCGAACTTGTCTTTCAGGTCGCGCCTGTCGCTGGAGTCGTAGTCGACGTGGTGCCCGCGGTCCGTCATGATGATTTGGAGGCCGCCGTCGTTGACGGATTGGAGGGTCAGGTTGAAGTTCCATTTGAAGGAGCGGTGGATGCTGTGTCAGAGAGTAGATTAGTGCCATGTTACAAAGGGCGGAGAGATTGGTCAGGTTCCGTGGGTCAGTTCTGTAGTAAGTGATATGGATGCGTGCATGGTATACGTACTCGTCTCCCTTGCTGGCAGCATGGTCCTCAAGTCCCCACCATACCTCGCTGTACAGGCGTATGTACGAGGTGCCTTCGACGTTGATCGTCGGGCTGTCTCCAGTGGCGGTGATTTTTACCTCGCAAGACGCTACACGATGTTGAGAAAATTGTCAGCATCAAATCCGCAGTTCCCAGACAGTTTGGCCAGATCGCAACAAAGACACAACGAACTTACATTCAGCAGTAACTTTGATCGACTGAGCGCCGTGGTCGCGCTTCAGGTCCTGAGGCCAGGACTTCGTAAACGTCCAGACTGTTTTCGGACCATTTTGAGTCTTGCTGAACCTGTATTCGTTGTCCTTGACGTTGCCGGGGTCGTTGATGTGGAGATTGATACCCCTGTTTTCCAAGTGTCAGTTTTCAAAACATTGTGGACTTGGTCGATGAGGGAGGAGGGGAATGGCCACTCATACATGGCCCATGTCGAGTTGGCCCACGCTCCGGCACTCAAGTCTGACCACCCAATGGCCATTCGGGCAATGATGTCCCGCAGCCTGGGAAATAGATATTGGTCCATGAAATTGCCGGATGTCAAGACAAAGGCGCCCAGGGGTAGGTCGTCTGTGATGTTGTCTTGTCCGTTGCTCGTCGAGATGGACCCGGCGGTCCAGTTGCCGTCGTAGCCGAGATACTTTTTGTCCCCTGACGGCATGGGCGGCGGGTCCTTTTGGCCCGGGTTGAGTGTCTTCTCGAGGTAGCAGAGGTAGTTCAGCCTGGAGTTGCCGGTCGTGCCATCCCCGGCGGCGTTGCCATTGGATTTGTATGGATATGTCTGGAACTGGAGCCCACAGGGAATGAAGGTCGCTTTAGGGGACTCGACAACGGCTTTGTTCTGGGGGCCGTTGGTCACGTAGCCGAGGACATTCAAGTCTTGCATGTGTAGCATTGTGTCTGCGTCCAGGGGTTAGCTCTTCAAGGTTCTCATGCTGTGTCACATGGTACCACAGGCGACATACTGCTTTGACCCTCGCCGATTGTCGTCATCAGAATCTTGATGTTTTTCAGGTTGTCTTCAGACAATTTGGGTGTTTTGTCGTTCTCATACCCGCCAAAGTAGGACTGAGTCATTGTGGCTGAGCTGATGTCGGGATCTGTACTCAAGTTAGAAATTACAAGCATGGCTTTTAAACAGATATCTGTATCACCTTTCATATTCATGATCAACTTCTGGATTGAGTAGTCACCCGGAATGTCGTGTTTCTTGCGCAAGCTCTCCAGTACCTCTGGCTTGCTGATGTCCGCCAGAGCTGTGCCACGTCAGCCGCCACAAACCTGAGTTGAAGAACAGAATACTTGCCAATGTTGACGGAGTAGGCGAAATACCAGTCCTGGATCGGCCATGTGAGAGGCGTCGTGTCCGTCCAGCTTTTCTGGGTCTAACACGATATCAGCAATGAGAGGATTTGTTTAGAAGAAAACGGACATACCACAAAACTGCCGCTGGTAATGTGGATCTGGTAGAGGACATGGTATTTGTCTTCGTCACTATAGTGCACGATAACCCTGGGACAACCCAGTTTGAAGTCCTTGAAAGCAAAGGTCCCTGGACCGAAATTCGGTATCACGGCGTCAGCTGCATGGCCAGCGCTCACGGCGTTTGCTTGGTTGATCGCAAACAGGTCCTGGAGTGAATTGTTGATCATTTGTCTGGTTGAAAGGTTAGCAAGAATGGCAAAGGGGGGTCGAGAGTCAAGACTGAGCCTACTGCGTAATGGCAACCACTTGGTCGTACTCGCCAATCTAGTCATATGGGGAATCAGTACATGAGGAAGAACGTCATCTGGGTATGGATGGTCCTTTACGTACAGATGGTGCCATTGTTCCTCTGTTGTCGCACTGCAAATCCTGGATCTGGCTCTGTGGCAGGCTTGAGGACTTGGATGCAGGCTCTCTGGGATAGTTGTGCAGGAGTTGTTCCTTTCTGTGTATAGAACGAAGATGGCCCTTTTACAATAACCATGCATGTGCCAGAGCGAAGAGCTGGCCAGTGTCTCCAGCGTGGCTGAGAGTTCGAGAGCTGAACATGGTTCTAGACCAATATACACCTGATCAGCGCTTGAAGCTAAATGCTGAGCACCAGGTTGATGGAGACGAGGGGAAGACGTGCACGGTCACTTTATCAAAGACTGTCGAGGTTTCAATTGAGGAGAGAATGCAATGAATACGAGGTCCGCACCAGCCACGCAAGCCTCTTGACCAGCTGCCTCAAGCTTTATGCTCTTTGCGGGCCGTGCTGCTTGTCTGATGCTGATGTGGATGTGGATCCAGATGCTGGGGGCCTCGAACCCAAACACCATCTTAGTAACGTGCTGATATGGGGTTCTGGGGGATCTTCAGTCAGCCACATTCTGGCCAGACCAACATGGAGTAGTTGGGGCCTCGTATACTTTGCCAACGCACGAATCAATTCACTCCCGTCGGTATCAGGTGCTTCTCCACTTCTCTAACGGTCACAACATGTGAAATCCAACTTGATGCCAGACACGCTTTCAGCTGGTGACATGCTGTGGATAGTAGACTGCTGCAGCCTGTCGAAACACGTAGCATTACGAGGGAGGGGTTCGCGCATTGACCAAGACCCTGCCCGCATTATGATGAAGAATAAGGATGGGCGGACGCCTCGATGTTTAGCGGGTTGCGTGAACTGCCAGCTCACAAGATCAACATGGCGAGCATCACATTCGATACGGAGTTGATGGTCAACCATATCGCTGCCACGCCGGCGGCGGCAGGGTCTGTGTTCACCACGGTGCTTGAGCCCATCACGCGGAGACCAGCCGTGATTAGCTTGAGCAATGAGAGTCCCCCCGTGCTTGAATTGATCAAGGTAGGACTTCTTTGAGGTCGATTTCGTTCGGATACCATAGTGACAGTGAACAGGAAGACGACGCCGGCAACCGCAACTTGGTGGACCTTGGAGGAAAGCTGAACCTGCCTTCTGGGGCTGTCATACAAGCCTTCGTGGCAGAGCAGGATGAGACCTTGAAGATCTATCTCGCTGTCGCCGTCAAGAATGACAAGAGCTCCGATGTCTATGTCTGTAAACCCTTCCTCCTCGACAATCTGGACGGAATTTCCTTGTACCCGAAACAGACCATGCCTACAGTGAACAAGCTCTTCATGGTAAGTACCGCCCATTCTCCATCAGGACTGAGGCTAAATAACATCCAGGGCGCTGTGACCAATCCTGGTTCTTTCCCCCTGCTGGTCGCAGACATTCAACCGCCAGCAAGACAAAGCAGCAAGAGCAGCGACCTCAAAGCCATCTGGGTTGACGGCGACACGACGCAGATGCTGCAGACTTTTGAGCTCCCCCAAAATGCAGACAGGATCATATCCGTTGCAGTCGCGTCGTATGGCATCCTCGGCAAAGGTCTTTGGGTTCTGTATTCCACCCAGAACCAGGCGAAGCTGGTCTGTAACCTGGCCAGGCCCGGGACTGATGGCACGGCCCTGCACTTTCAGCGTCTCGAACCGTCGTGCGACCCTAGAGCGACGGCTATTGCCTCGTATACCGACAAGAACCAACAGTCTGGTCTCCTCGTGGGAACGCCAAAGGGGCTGTACACCATTTCTGCACAGGACTGTATTAATTCGACAGACTTGCACACGCTTATTGCGGAAGACAGCTTTTTCAAAGCACCGGCCAGAATTTCCGTAGCGCAAGATGGACCGAGTTTAACCGTCTGGGGTCTCAGCCGGGACGGGCAGCTGGGATACTTGACGACTGATTCGGCAAACATCGAACGGGCACACCAGTCCGGAGCGGTTCTGCTGGGAAAACAGTCGTCGGCGTCCTTTTCGGCGTCCATTTCTCAGCGCAGCCCCGGAGCCAAACTGAATGTCATCACTCAAACAGTCATCTCGAATGATTCCCAGGGGAATCTAACGCTACTGGCCCAGAGCCAAGATACTGGGATATGGAGGTCCGAGCCGTTTGGGATTGCCCACTACACCAAGACCATCGAGGTTCAAAGCTATGCCGTGAGGGTGTCGATCAAGGACGAGAAGAATCTTCCCATCTCAAACGGCGAGGTGTGCGTTGTAGCGTCATCCGACACAACTGCATATGTCAATGGCAGAACTTATAACATCACCTCGGACCTCGAGGGGACCTGGCTGCCCTTGGACTCTGCAGGCTTACTCTCCATGATTGTGGCCACCAACATGATCTCTGGCCGCTCCTTCCGCGTGGTCCAGATCACAGATAATCAGAAAAATGATGTGGAGATGGCAGACCGGACCGTCAGGATCGACCCGAGCTTGAAGGTGGTGCGGAATCTGTGCTCCAAGCTCGGCAGTGATGCCGACTTGAGCAGCCTGAAGACACAATCTGGCCAGAGCCTGTGGTCGGACGGCAACAGGCCAGGACAGGAAGATTTGAAGGCGGCACACGAATGCTTCAAGAAGCTGAACCAGGCGCACTCGGAGGTCTTGAATCCTAGGTCGTCACGGCGAGTCGACGGCGGTGCAGTGCTAAAAGACATTGGTGACTGGACGATGGATGCGTTCCACCACGTCAAGGTCGCATTAGACGACGCGGTCGCTTGGGTGATTGAGCAGGTCGAAGGAGTGTGGCGGTTCGTGTGCAAGATAGCAGGTGAGATGAAGAGGTTTGTGTTGGACACGATTGAGAAGATTGGTGAGGCTGCGCAATGGGTATGTCGTTGTTGCTTTGTGAGATTCCTGCTTTCTAACCCTGGCTAACTTTGGGCTTCAGGTCTGGGAGAAGATCAAACTGGGGTGGGATAAATTGCTCGATTTCTTGGGACATCTGTTCGGGTGGGATGATATCAAGAATACTAGCGACGACATCTACAACCTCCTTCTCGGCAGTGTCGACTGGATATCGGATGGCATTCACAAGGTGGAACCCAAGGTCGAAGGGTGAGACATTCCTCCCCTCGTCGTTGAAGATAGAGCTAATGCTGCGACAGCTTCTTTGACAACTTGAAGGGGATAATCAAAGTCCCGACCTTGACCCAACCGGCATCGACTAATCAGAGTCAGAGCGGCAAGAGCAGCTCTTCTGCCAAAGCATCTGATAGTCCCGCGTTCAACTACCTGACTGATAGGATGAAGAACGGCAACCCTTGCGCAGCAGCCGCGGCGTCATCGCCATCGACGAGCAAACCCTCTGGAGCCGGCGAACCGTCCTTTGAAGAGATATTGAAGCCGCTCGGAGAAAGCCTGATGAAGCTAGTGACCGACCTCGCCCGCGACGTCTCCGAGCTGTTCCACGGCATGGGCGACCTCTCTCCCAGCCAGCTATTTGCAAAGCTGGGAAATGACCTCCTCGTCAACGTCATCGACGTGGTCAAGTCCATCGTCGTGGGTGTATTGAAGTTCCTGCGCAAGTCCATCGGCGTCTTCAAGGATCTGGTGACCGGCAAGATCAACGTGCCCATCATCTCGGCCCTGTACAAGCTCTGCACGGGCAACGATCTGAACTGGCTCAAGCTGGTAGCGTTCATCCTGGGCTTCATGACCTGCACCATGTCGAGGATCGTCACCGGTAAACCTCCCCCGAGGCTTCAGGACCCGGGCCAGAAATTCCTCGACAAGATGGTCGACGGGGGTGCGTCCGAGGTGGAGCAAAAAGGAAACGCCCTCTTCTTCTCCGGAGTCGGGATGAGCATCAGCGCGGTCAAGATCGTCTACGACGCCATCGCCGTGGCCAAGAGCGTTTCCAAGGTCGGAGCCGCCCAGACGGCCGTCACGAGCGTCAAGACCGAGGCTTTCGGCGTGGCCATGGACATTGCCACCATCGTCTGCATCTTCCCGACCGATCCCCAGGCGCCGGGGTACGAGATGCGCAAGTGGATCACGTACATCAACGCAGCCAGCGTCGGCATGGACCTGGCGTTGATGTTGGGCAGCCAGGGCCCCAACCCGGCGGCAGAAAAGGGCGTGGCAATCTTCAAGTTCGCCACCGACCTGGTCAGTGCGTGTCTGTACGGCATCGTCTTCTCCAAAGAGCTCGACGCCGAGAAGAAGTCCTGGCCCGACAAGGACGACGACCTGACAAACTGCGCCATTTGCGAGGACGTCTTTGGCGCCGTCAAGAGCTGCGGCAAGCTCATCTGTGCCGTGTCGGCCGAGTCGCCGCAGTCTGCCGCCGTTGGGCTCGCCGTCATGGCAGCCGCGGGTCTTGGGTTGACGGTCAACAAGGGATTCACCCTGAATCGTACCGCCGAGGTGAATCCAAAGTGCTATCGCGGGGCTTTGTGTTGAGTCAGGACGGACTATTCAGATTGGATGGATCCTCTCTATAACATTTGTTGGCTCCTTTGCAGGTGATATGGTTAATGGATGATTGCAAACTGTCGACACAGACTCGCTATCATAGGGAAGTATTGAACATTCAACGCCAAAGGACCTATACCTATACCCATACTCGGACTACTTTTCTCTCTCTCTCTCTGTCAGAAACATAAAATGTGATTCCCCTTGGGGTGTATATTTAGCGATGAAGCAGCTCTGTAGCATTCTGCAACACCATCTCCCCCGCCCACTTGATATGCGGCTGCACGATCTGCGTCAACTGCCTGCTCTTGACAAACGCCGCGACCACCGCCAGAAGCACCATGTCCCGCTCGGCGTGGATGCGCGGCGACACCTCGCGCAGCAGGGCGTTGAGGGCCCACCACCTCGTGCCGCCGCGGAGCTTGAACGCGCCCCAGTCCACGGCCAGGGTGCGGCGCCAGTACTCCTCGGCCTTGCCCGGCCACGAGGTCACGTTGCGGCCGTGCTCGTTGATGAACCAGCTTGAGCAGCCCGAGAAGAAGACGCTCGACTTGAGTTTTGCGTGGATCACG